AATATCCCAAGGACAGCGATAATAATTATTTCACTAAATGAAAGCACATTGCTTGGTAAATTATGAGTATTTATCACTGGTCAGAAATTTTTAGACACTATTAACTCATTTATTTAATAAAAAGTAATTTACTAGTTACAATCCATAAAGTCTTGACTGTACATCCCATAAGTCGTTATTTTTTTCTCATATTTACTATTAAATTATCAATATTTTTATTATTAATTTTACTAAATCGAGACATTAAAAAATAAATAAATGTGAAAGTGTCAAATATTGACTTTTTAGGTTGGGGACTTTAACTGGACCTAATTCGCTAGAGCCTTAGGATAAAAGATTTAGACAAAAGGCAGAAACAGGTCGATTTAGATTTTTTGTGCTCTTTCCAGTCATATTAATTTTTTTTTCATCCCTTTTAAGGGGCGAAACCTAACCCTGGGATGATATTATTTTTGGCACCTTGTTGGAAGCTCTTTTAAAAAGAAAATTGGCTATGCAATTTTTTCTCATTTTATTTTGATAGCGAATTTTTAAGAAAAAAAAAAAGCTTATAAAAATCAAAAATGGACCATAAAATGCGTCTAAAAAATTATTTAAGGGCATTAATCCTAAAACTTAGCAACTTTTAACCTACCTAAAGTTTCAATTTTGATTTTTGTGTATTCGCTATCAAATTAAAATGAGAAACAAATTGCACAATTTTCTTTTTAAAAGAGCTTTGTCACAAGTTGCATCCTCCCATTTAAAAAAATTAAGTGGAGTTAGGTTTCACCCCTTAAAAGGGTTAGAAAAAAATTTTTATATGACTGGAAAAAGCACAAAAAATCTCAATCGACCTGTTATCGTTTTATCCAAATATTTTATCCTAAGGCTCTAGCGAATTAGGTCCAGTTAAAGTCCCCACCCTGTGTAGTATTGCTACAAACATTTAAGTCGAATGGTTAAGATTCAGACAAATAATTTTTTTTGTAGAATCGATTACCTAATGAACTTTTTTAAATTTTAATGAATTCATGGGTCTATTTAAAATTCACATATCAGAATAGATGAAAAAAATTAATTTACTATTAATTAATTATCGTAATTTAGGTAGATTAGCAATGATTTCAAAATTATTTAAAACAGACTTATACAAACCTAACGAATAGTGATAGTAGAACTAGTTCATTTTATGCAGAGTATTTTGAATGTCTTAAATATGGCTGATTTTAAGTTCAATTTACTCAATTTTTTCAAATTCAACACCCTGTATATCATTTTAGCATAAAATTCCTTATAAATATTCCTATCCAACGACACCAACATATTAGTTAATTATACAAATACCAATGATGTAAAATTACCGTAATTTATATTTTTGGTAATTTACGGGTTTTAATTACCAAAATTAATTACCCTGGTAATAAATTTGTGTCGTAAATTACTGTGGTAATTTACCGTAATATATTTTATACACATACATAACTTCAAAATGAAATTAAGGTGTGTGTGTTTGTGTTGAACATAGAATTGTTTCATTTGTTTGTGAATAAAACTAATTATTTGTTACTAAATATAATTTAAATTTAGGTTTAAGTAACAAAACGCGAAAGAAAACAAAACATCAAATGAAATTTTATTGTTTGTGCGGGTGACTAATCTAAAAAAAACTTAAGTTCCTTGTACTTTGTATAAGAAAAATGTATTTTAATTTTATAAGAATTATATTTTATTAATCATATTATGCATATGTTACATTGGCATTTCACAATGAGCTGGACTAAATGAGATCTCTAAATCAACTATTTTATCTAGTTCAGTTTCGCTATCTACTTCAGACCAGTCGGAATCATATTCAGATTCAGACTTCAAAGAAGATTCTAATGAACCGGATGAACATTCCGCTATATTTAAATTTTGTCTAATATAAACAATTTTTTGTGGCCTTTCATTTGTTAGTCGATTTCTTTTATTTGTATGTATATTTCCATACGTTGATAAGTTTCGTTCTGTGGCACCAGTTGACGGTGGGCAGTTTAATACTTCTACAGCTACTTTGCTTAACTTTGTTGTTGAACAAATCGATTTCTACCAAGTTATTGCTGACAGTTTTCCATTTTTTAGACTGGTCCATACAAAGTCAGCGAATAGGGCTTCTTTAGATCTATAAAAGGCAATACTTTTCTGCAAGTAAATTCCAGCTAGCTGTAACGTTTCTTTCATTGTCTGTTGTAATTGACATAATTTTTTCTAAGTATATTTCATCAATTACTGCGGATATAATGTTGTACATGAAGTTGCTTCGTGACGAGCTGCTTTCGTATCTACTATTTTATATAACACAGGAATAGGATTACCATATTACCAAATACAATTTTTTGACATTCCTAATGAATATTCCGGACAAATTATTAAAAATCCGGACAAAATAATAAAACTTCAACTTGAAATAATTACTATATGTTTTATTTAAAAAAGTACCTACATACCATCAAAAACTAAGAACAAACTTCCTCAATAAAAAAATTTTGAAATTACCTTAAGGAGGACATTAACTATAGATTCATTGCGAATATTAAACCAACCATCAATTTGAATTCCTACAGTCTTAGCAGTATGAATTTTTTCGTTAACGGACTTTTTTACACGATCATATTCACTGTTTAGTAATTTATTTGATAACTGATGCTTTGAGGGAAGTTTTAATGAAGAGCAGTTATCCAGTGCTTCTTTTGGTAAATTACAAGAAAATGCCGTACATAATGGTAAATAACGGTAAATAATGTACATTTTTTACCACAAAAATCGGTAATTTACTTTTCTGGTTCACATCTCTGAGGGTACAAACACAGTAGAAGCAGATTTCCGCTTACGGGCAATCTGCGCCGTTGTCTCGCGACTGAATGGTACAGAGTTAATACCTGTAAAAGCGAGAAAAATCGTTGCGTCTACAACTTCTAGCAAATTGTCTTTTTCTGATTACGATCTGATTGCTTTGGATTCTGTTTTAACTAAACTGAAGAGAAAGAGAGTTGGTATACAATCTGTAGTATAATTGTCAGTTATATTTTGTTGTTGGTTACTTTTAAGGGGTCTATGATTTTGGGACGTGGTTGATTGTTGGCTTAAGGAAACAGAAGAGTAGGCATTCTGATAACCAGGAGAAGGCGTATTAGAATGGGAGTATGTAGAAGATAATGGATGAGGATAAGTGTTAAGTTGGCTTAAGGAAACGGATGTATGGTCATTTTGGTCTATGTTGTGATAACCAGGTGAAGGCGCACTAAAATGAGATGATGTAGAAGAAAATGGACGAGAACAAGTGTAAAGTTAATAGGAATATTGTTCCACTAACTTCTGTACGCGACAACGAAAAGATACTATTCTGTTTTCAGGTATTTTCCTTATATGCGGCAGCAAACTTTTGAAAAATTAAAGATGTTCGTTTTATTTAAGTGTTTATTTCCTTCCAATATTTATCAATCTCATTCCGATTAGAATGCAACTTCTCCCTCTTGTCTCAAATAGGGAGTCTTTCAAAAACGGTAGCAATAAGTGCTTTCTTATCCATGGTACAACCACTAAACCAGCGCGTACCAAAAGCAGAAATAAACTAAATTGTCATTCCGGCAAAAGCGAGAACGCAGGTTAGCGCTGGTTACTGGCGCCGACCTGCTTTAACTGTGTACTTGTTAATTTAAAAACATGCATTCATTTTGAAAGCTTATAAGCGCGGCTCGGCGCTGATTGCCGGTAAGCGGAAATCTGCTTCTACTGTGTCTGTACACTGAGGGTGACCCATCAGCGCATAATTGTTCGATAGCTGTTTTATTATTGAAAATAAAAAAAATAATAATATAAAAGTTTTGTGACTATATTTAACAATTATTCTTAAATATACAGGGTGGTCGATAAACGAGGGGCTGACCAAACATACTTTTTTTAAAGCAAAACATCCTGTAGGTAGTTACACATATTTGATAGTTTTCACATCGTCAAACAATTTTAATAGACTTGATTTATTTGCTATGTTGTATATAGGGTGTGTCAAAACGCGAGGTTACGATTTTCTCATTTTTTTAGATACCCTGTATGTTATACCACCATTTTTAAATTTTTATTATTTTTTGTTTTGCATTCCATATATCAATAGTTTATATTGCTTGTGACATCCTTTATTTCTGAAAAATGGTTTAACAAAAATTTTAGACGTTTGCTTTTAATCGTCATAAAGTTTGCTCTGTATAAAATGAATCAATTCTTCTATCACTATTCGTTAGGTTTGTATCTTGTCTGTATTTTAAACAATTTTGAAATCATTGCTAACACCTAAACTATGATTTTATTTAGAGTCTGCATCATTCTTTAATTTCACAAAAAAATAATTGATTGGCAACCCTGTAATATTTTTCAAAAATATTTTAGCGTTTACAGTATTACTAGACTATTCTATAAATGAAATAATATACAGGGTGTTCCATTTAAAAAATATTAATTTTTATTTGCCCTGCAGAAGCGTAACGTCCTGTATATCCAAAAATATTTTTAATACATGGGACATCCTGTATTTAAGGCTTCCCCTCTTTACTTAATGATTAAAAATAGTATATCCTTCATAAGAACTTATTTCCTTAATACATTGTAATTTTTTTAATATAGTTTCCTTGGTTTTTGTAACATATTTTTTTTTTTTTTTTTTTTTATTTTTATCGACTCAATTGTGGGCACTTTTTTTTCTATTGTCTCGAGTTTTTTTTTGTTTTTCACCTGATCCTGTAATTGGCCTTACCCATTGGATATTGCAAGTAAAATAAAATACACGTTGCTCAATTTGAAAAAAAAATTAATGTCTTAGTTTTTGAAACATATTTTTACAATAGGAGCCTCTGCAAACCGCAATCCTTTGTATTTGATATTTTCTCGTATTTTCAAACACACACTATATAAATTCCACTTATCAGCGTTTGTACATAAATAACTATTTATTTAGATTTTATATATTATCAAATTGTCATTTTTAGGTCTACGGATATTTTACTAGACTTAGATCCCTCTTCCGGCGAGGGCAAATATCAACCCGAAATTGATGATCCGGAATACACAAATGCGGCCAGTACTGCTCTGTACGAGATGGTCTTTTTATCGAACCATTATCATCCAATCGTTAATAAATTTGCTAGAAATATTGCCAGTGGCGTCCCTTCAACTGGTGACGGGAGTCTTCCAGGGGAGTACGGAAAGAGGTAAATTATTATATTTATTAAATTTCAGGTAGTTGAGAAAAAATTACATAGGGTGTCCCGAAATTAGACGGTCATTTTTTAACAGCGTAATCTACATCTTAAAATAGGAATAAAAGTTCATGTGAACATAGGTCCGAAAACGTTTCGTTTTCGAGATACAGGATGTTACAAGTTACAAGTGAAATCCTAATGGCACATTTTTGTATATATTTTCTAAAATTTCTTTAGTCACCGGTTTTACAAAGTAAAAAAATAAAATTTCTAATTTCACAGGCCTACTAATTATTGTTTACACTTTCAAATAACTTATCATGAAATTTTAAAATGCTTTTTTCTTGAAAATGGTGCGTCCTAGCGAGATGCAACAAAAGTAACTTTATTATAAAAAAACATTGGTTTTTCAAATTTTATAGTCAAAAATGTTAAAAACTGTCACAAAAAAAAATAGGGCAATTTTACCCTAGGCCCCCCTCCCTTAATTTACCCACCTATGAAGATGATCAAAAACTGGGATTTAGTCCATTAAATAGAGCGTAAAAAGGTAAGCATATGTCCAAATTTCACTTAGTTATCTTTAAACGTTTAGAAAATATTTACAAAAAAGTGTCATCAGGACTTCACTTTTAACACCCTGTATCTCGGAAAAGAAACGTTTTCGGACCTATGTTTATATGAACTTTTACTCCTATTTTAGGATGTAGATTATGCTGTTAAAATACGACCGTCTAATTTCGGGATACCCTGTATATAAAATTGTTTTGATAATATTTATTTTTGGTGTGTTATTTAAACAGTAAAATTTAATTTTTTAAAGGGCAATACTGTGAAGGCTTTTTAATTAATATTTTTAAAATTGGTTCGTTCGTTTATTAAGACTTATTTTATAATAAGCATCAAAATTATACTTAGAATTTTTTTTAATTGGTGGTGGTACATATCTGTACTACAACATATTTTTTCGTTTGTTAAGACTTATGTTATAATAAGCATCAAAATTATAACTAGTTTTTTTTTTTTAATTGGTGGTACATATCTGTACCCAAGATATTGTGTGGCATGTATATGTACCACACAGAGAAAGGGGCTTAAATATTCAGAAATTAGTATTAATCACATATTACAGAAATGTTAAGAAAAAAAAGTTAGATTCTCAAAAAGGAAAAATAAATAAAATTACCTTTTTTATTTATATTTTGATAAGTATCCAGTTTTGTTTTGATCTTGCTGGCGCATTATCAAAAATAATTTACAAATAGATGCTAACTTACCGTTTTGTTTACTTCTGTTCACTTATAGGACTTTTTGTAGAGATAACCATGACACTCAAAAATCAAACACTTCGGGCTTTCTGGTACAAATGTGTACCACATTCTGACAGTTAGTTGATTATCAGATGGCGATAAGTGAAATCGCGGTAAATATTTGTACCACGTTATCGAAATGGATGTTTTAGTCAAATACAACACACATACCCTCTATAATTAACACATGGTTGTATCAGGCAATTTCAATAAAAACTATAGTTCACAAATCCTTATAAACGTGAGGCTTTATACAAAAAAAGTGTTAAAAATCATATAGGAGACTTTTCTTGCAGTGTACTCGTAAATTTCACTATCTCCACGTTTTTGTTTTTGTATAACACCCTGTATATTATTGCATTTTTCTATTCTCTAATATACAATTTTAAAAATGTATACCCAAATTGTAAGGTGAAACGTTTGGAAGTTACAGGTAATTTCAATTTAATAACAGAAACTGTTTAATTCTGTCAAATGCCCGTACTAAATCTCAAAATAACTATTATAAACATTTAAATTTAATAACAAAACGGTTTAATTCAGCTAAGTGACTGTACTAAATCTCAAAACAATCAAACGATGTTTTGCTTCGGATAAAAACAGTGATCGAAAAAGTTATATTTGACGTTTTTTAAACAAGGTGTCATAGTTCACCTTTTAGTAGTAATACTAAAGATTAACAACATGAGACATTACATTCATGAAGTATAAAATAAAGCAACCTGGCTAGGCGTTTAAATTGGAATGTGCACAATGTTGCCAATGTGATCCCTATATAATTGTATTTCGTGATGAATAGTATTTTTGATATATTAGAAAAACTCCCAAAATGATTAAAAAATAAATATCCCCTAATTTAATGGTCATATATAATCATAAGAATTCAATAAATTCTTCACAAGAAAGTTAAATTAAATTATATTTTGAGGTGTTCAACTTAGTCCAGCTATACTCAACCATTTTTTTCCCTTTGGACCACATACAAATCGTTGCCCTTATCACGAAGTGACCTAACCAACAAAAATTAAAAAAAAAATTGTGCAAACTAGTCTTGACCTACTTTATCATCTCATGAAGTGGCATATCTACAACCTTAATAGTGCATGCAATACAGCATAATACTTCTGTGTCCTATCTGCAATAACACAGTATTTTCCTCACGAACTGCTCTAAGTGACTTTAGGTATCTTCATGGGCGTCGTTACACAATTAAATAGGGAGGGGCAAAATTTTGAAAAAAATTTAGAATGTTTATTTGTTGGAAAACAAAGGAAATGAAAAATAAAAGAGAATTTTCTTATGATGGATTTAATTATTCTGTGACGTCATGGCTTACTTCCGGCTTTTCCAGAAATAACAGAAAATCGCAATTTATTTTTTATTTTTAAATCAAAACCCTTTTTCTATTGAAAATTTGAGTTTCTGGGACATTTTTGTATAAGAAGCATGTATTAAAAATTTTCTGTAACATATTTAAAAAAATATATTGACAGTAGACAGAAAATTTTCAACACATGATTCTTTTCCACAAATGTCCTCGAAATTCAAATTTTTAATAAAAAAAAGAGTTTCTATTTAAAAATTAAAAATAAATTGAATCCAGTATATGTATAACAGTATTTGTTACTAAAAAAATCTGATGTGCCCAACACATGACTTTCCTATCTAGTTATTATAGACTTTTTCCGGTTATTTTGTACAACCTATTGCAGCATCTCTATAAATGTTTAGAGGATAAACTAAATATATACATTGTCCACATACATCTACCTCGAAACATTTTTCTATAGATATTCATTGAAAACGAAAATACTGAAAAATTTAAATTTAGCACTTTTCCTACAATTTTTCCATTACGGTCCATTTTAGAAAAATCATGTATAAACAAAAATTATATAGATCGATATCGCAAACAACTTTTAGTTCAACAATTTTCATAAAAATCAGAATTTTGCACATTTTGTCAAATTTCTCGAATACGGACCATTTCAGGAAATTTTGACATAAAACAAAAATTATAGATAATAATATTAGAAGTAACTTTTATTTTAACAATTTTCTTCTCCAAACATAAATAACAGATATATTCCATAAAATATAAGAACGGCCTCCCATAAAGTACCCCCCCAGATGTTCCGACTTTGTCCAAAATCTAATAATTTCACGTCAGGCCGAAATAAACCTTAAGTTTAAAATTTAATGTTTTTTTCTTTATCCGTTTTTAAGTTTTCTTCAAAATTCGAAATTTACACATTTTCTCAAATATCTCGAATACGGTCCATTTTAAAGAAATTATGTATAGAATAAAAATTATAGAGAATTATATTACAAACAACTTTTATTTGAACAATTTTTATAAAAAATGATTTTTTTTACATTTTGTCAAATTTGTCGAATACGGACCATTTTAGGAAAATTTTGTATAGAACAAAATTATAGATAATTATATTAGAAGTAACTTTTATTTGAAGAATTTTCTTCCCCTAACGTAAATAACAGATATATTCCATAAAATATAAAAATGACTATAAAGTACCCCCCCAGATGTTCCGACTTTGTCCAAAATCTAATCATTTCATTAGACGCTGGAATAAAGCTTAAGTTTAAAATTTGGTGTTTTTCTGTGTATCGGTTCATGAGTTATGCGACATACAGACACACACACAGACATCATCGCGAAAATAGTCAAAACGGATTCAGGGGACCTCAAAACGTAAAAATCCGTCGAAAACTCGAGGTCGAAAAAAATCATGATTCCTATACTTTCCTTATATCTGTATACAGATAGGAAAGTAAAAAATCAATAATAAAACTGGTTTCCTATCAATAAGTCGCAAGATTGCATTTCAGCCATATACAATAATCAAAGGCAGAAATCTAATCATTTGCTAAACATTTAAGATTTAAGGGACGTTGAAGAATATCATAAAAAAATAATTTATTGTTTATTTATTACAAAAATAAAGGTTTTTTTTTGTTCTTATTATGCAGCTGTCCATTCATTTCTTTGATTTCATTTCGAGTTTGCTACTGAAAATTTATGTAATTTACAGCTTTTTGCTAGTGTAATTTGCAACATAGCAACTCCGGATGCTCATTTTATTGTCTTTACCTATTTTTTAGTAAAAAGTAAAATGTATACGTGTATTTGATACGCCAAAATTACCAAATATCGCCCTAAAATACTCGAATTATCCGCTGCTTGCGCTAGTATCGCTTTTTGCTTCCCCTGCCATGACTTCGCACTGATAAAATAGACCGCAGCCATGTTTTAACATGCCTTAACGTGCCAAACGTTCATCCGATTAACTCTGTCGTTGGTGGAAGAGCCACAAATATTTTTTAAACCACTTTGTATGTCTGGATAAAATTCACAATGTTTGGACGCTATATCATTAATGAAGAACTCATTGTGTGCAGAAAGCTCTTTCGTACTCTAGTTTGGTATTCAGCTTCAAAATTGTCGATTCTAAATTTTTTCACTACTTTCATTTTCTAATCGGTAGTGAAAAAAGTATTTTTTATGTTTTTTGGGATGTAACAGGCTTAAGGAAAAACTAATAAAGTCTTTGGAAAAGC